TTTTTTATTGTCTGATAATTCGCCCAAGAGCTGTCTGTTTTCTGCAATTCTCCCCATAAACTCTGATGAGCAAGAGAGCCCTAATTTCACAAGGCTTTCTTTTTTTTTTTTTTTTTTTTTTTATTGTCTGATAATTCGCCCAAGAGCTGTCTGTTTTCTGCAATTCTCCCCATAAACTCTGATGAGCAAGAGAGCCCTAATTTCACAAGGCATTGTTGTTAGGTGCCTTTGAGTCAGTTCTGACTCATAGGGACCCTATGCACAACTGAATGGAACACTACTCGGTCCTGCGCCATCCTCAGAATATTACTAATCTTTGAGCCCATTGTTGCAGCCACTACATCCATCTCCTTGAGGATCGTCCTCTTTTTTGCTGACCCTCTAGTTTGCCAAGCATGGTGTCCTTTTCCCGGACTGGTCCCTCCGGATAACGTGTCCAAAGTAGCCATCCTCTTTTCTAAGGAGCGCTCTGGCTGTACTTCCAAAACAGATTTGTTCCTTCTTTGGCAATCCATGGTATGTCTATTCGATATTCTTCGCCAACACTGTAAAGCAAAGGCATCAAGTCTTCAGTCTTCCCTATTCATTGTCCAGCTTTCACATACATATAAAGCGATTGAAAATACCGTGGCTTGTGTCAGGCGCACCTTAATCTTCAAAGTGACACTTGCTTTTTAACACTTTAAAGAAGTCTTTTACAGGAAATTTGCCCAGTGCAATACGTCATTTGATTTCTTGATTGCTGCTTTCATGGGCATTGATTGTGGATCCAAATAAAATGATATCCTTGACAACTTCAATCTTTTCTCCATTTATCATGATGTTGTTTATTGGTCCAATTGTGAGGATTTTTGTTTTCTTTACGTTGAGGCATAATCCATGTACGGAAGGCTGCAGTCTTTGATCTTCATCAGTAAGTGCTTCAAGTCCTCTTTGATTTCAGCGAGCAAGGTTGTGTTATCTGCATATCGCAGGTTGTTAATGAGCCTTCCTCCAATCCTGACGCCGAGTTCTTCTTCATATAGTCCAGTTTATCAGATTATTTGCTCAGCATACAGATTAGATTGAATAAGTATGGTGAAAAGATATAACCCTGATGAACACCTTTCCTGACTTTAAACCATGCAGCATCCCTTGTTCTATTCAAACAACTACCTCTTGGTCTATGTACAGGTTCCTCATGAGCACAATAAAGCGTTCCGGAATTCCCATTCTCTGCAGTATCATCCATAATTTGGTATGATCCACACAGTCGAATACCTTTGCATAGTCAATAAAACACAGGTAAACATCTTTCTAGTATTTCCTGCTTTCAGCCAAGATCCATCTGACATCAGTAATGATAGCCCTCATTCCACATCCTCTTCTGAATCCGGATGCAGCACTGTAGGTGCTCACTTGTCTATGCCGAGAAATCTGGAAGACAGTTACCTGGCCAAGTGACTGGAAGAGATCCATATTTGTGCCCATTCAAAGGAAGGTGATCCAAAAGAATGTGAAAATTATCAAACAGTATCATTAATATTATGAGGTATTACCCCTTCTTAAATCCCTGACTTTGTGAATGAGCATTCTGAGGCCTAAAGGGGTTGTCAGTGTTAAGCTAGAAGACTTTCCACTGCCCTGCTAATAAAACACAATGCTGCAGTAGAGCCAAAACCTTCCTCGCCAGCAGTAGACAGGCTTCTCTCAGGAGAACCATGAATCCATCCTGCCACACTTTATCAGCTTACCCCTTTGTAAGATACCTGCCAAGGAGACCTGCTTTCCCTACTCTAACGTGCCTCTCTACCCGATACAGACGCCACACTCACACACAACGTGGCTGAGAAGGGAGGAGGGGAGGAAGTTTCAGCAGCCAATTCTATCACTACTGAGTATGAGCAAGTAAACTGAAGTACTTGACTAAAGTAAAATGGCTGCTTTAGAGTTTGTGGCCCTGTTTCCCAGGAGCTATAGAGATCCTTCCCGAAAAATGTCTCAGGAAGAATACCATGATGCTGACTCTTATCTAGGCCTCCTAGGCAACTGCTGACAAGAAACATTTCACTTGAGCAAGATGTGTATAAGAGAGATGTCCTGTAACCTTCCTCCATCCTAGCTCCACTTCCTGTAATGTGCCTTGTATTAAGTTTGTAATGTCCAATCAAAACAGCACAGCTCAAGTCCTTTGTTCTTGCCCTTTAAAGATCTCCGCAGCTTTGCCATTCTTGAAGTGTTTGTTCTCTCAGTAAAATTAGACATTTTCCCCAGTCCAGACTATCATTGAACCTACAATAAATCTCCTTGCTCTACTTTAAAAGAGTAACCGTTTATTACTCTTAGAAAGACACGAATCACACACGCACATATACAATCACTTAACAGTCTCCCACTCCTTCACACCTCAGTGAGCAAAGGTTACCCAAAGAAAACGGAAGCATCAGGCAACTGCTCAAATCTGGTGCCAATGCTGCTCATTCTTCCCGTTCACTCTCCCATGAATGCAACTGATCAAACTTAACGAAAGCACATTATTTAAATCAGTGCTTCATATCCTGTGTGTTTTCAAAATTCACATGACCAGGCCCACCCCAGGATGTCATGATTCAATAGATCTACTTTTTTTGTTTTGTCTTTGTAGTAAGTATATAATGTAATTTTACTTTAACAGAAGGAGACAAGTGAAACAAGGAATTGCAGAATTTCAATTAAATGCTTCTTGAGAACAAGAGTTAGTTTTTTTTCTAAAAGAGAAATCTAAAATTAGATATTTTTAAAGTTAAAAAGGAAAGAAAAGAGCACTGTTATAAGAACATTTAAGATGTTGGGTTAACAGCAAAAAGACAAACCAATCAAAAAATGAGAAAGGCACTTTGCTGAATGGTGTCTGGGGTCTTAAAAGCTTGCGAGCAGCCATCTAAGATGCATCAATTGGGCACAACCCACCTGGAGCAAAGGAGAATGAAGAACACCAAAGACACAAAGAAATTATTAGCCCAAAAGACAAAAGGGCCACATAAACCAGAGGCTCTATTAGCCTGAGACCAGAAGAATTAGATGGTGCCCAGCTACCACCAATGACTGCCCCGACAGGGAACACAACAGAGAGTCCCTGATGGAGCAGGAAAAAAGTGGGGTGCAGAACTCAAATTCTAGTAAAAACACCAGACTTAATGGTCTGACTGAGACTAGAGGAACCCCAGAAGACATGGCCCCTGGACTCTCTGTTAAACCAGAACTAAAAGCATTCCCAAAGCCAACTCTTCAGACAAAGAATAGACGGGACTATAAGAAAATAATACTCACAAAGAGTGTGCTTCTTAGTTCAAGTAGATTCACAAGACTAAATGGGCAGCTCCTGTGCAGAGGTGGGATGAGAAGGCAGAAAGGGACAGGAGCTGGCTGAATGGACACGGGAAATGTGGTGTGGAAAGGGGGAGAGTGCTGTCACATTATAGGGATTGCAAGTAGGGTCACATATGTGCATAAATTTTTGTATGAGAAACTAACTTGAGCTGTAAACTTTCACCTAAAGCACAATTTAAAAAAAAGAAAAAAATGGGAAAAGGACTTGAATCGACATTTCACCAAAAAAGATATACAAATGCCAACAACAAAGACAAAAAGATGCACAACTCATTAGTCATTAGGCAAATGGAAATCAAAATCACAATGAGATACCTCTTCACTCCTACTAGGAGAGTTATGGTTAAAAAAAAACAGAAAACGACAAATGTTGGCGAGAAAGTGGAAAAACTGGAACCCTCGTAAACTGCTGGTGGGAAAGCAAAATGGTCCAGTTACTGTGGAAAAGTTTGGCAGTCCCTCAAAAAGTTAAACATAAAATTACCATAGGACCCAACAATTTCACTCCTAGATAATACCCAAAAGACTTGAAAGCAGGAACACAAACAGATATATGTACACCAATGTTCACTGCAGCACTATTCACAATAGCCAAAAAGTGGGAACCTAAGTGTCCATCAATAGATGAATCCAAACAACCAATCAACTAGTTGCTGTCGAGTCAGCTCTGACTCATAGCGACCCCACAGGACGGAGTAGAACTGCCATAGAAAATAGAGTTTCCAAGGACCAGCTGGTGAATTCAAACTGCCAATCTTTTGGATAGCAGCCAAAGCTCTTAACCACTGTGCCACCAGGGCGAAAAACAAAATATGGTACATACATACAATGGAATATTTCTGAGGGAAAGAGAGAAATGAAGTCCTGATACATTCTACAATGTGGATGAACCTTGAAACATACTGAGTGAAATAAATCAGTTACAAAAGGA